TTACACTTTTTATTTAAGTGCATAATTTTAAGTTTTATTTTAAAAATTTTTTTTTAGAATGATAGGAATGATAATGAAATTTTCATAGAAATATCTTTTTTTTAACATCTCTGTGGAAAAGAAAAAAATATATATATGATTGGAGAAGCCTAGAATCTAACCAAATACTTGGGGAGGGATGGGGGGGTGTGTGTGTGTGTGTTACAAATGTCTGAGTTGTTACGTGATTACCTGAAACTGTGTACTGTATTTAGAGTCATGTCGTAATGTCTTTTACCAGCAGGTACAGAGGAATAGATTGCTATATGTATTTGACAAGGTGTGAGTCAGAAGAATTTGTTGTCTATTTTCCTTAGCAGGAAGAGAAATAAAATCATAGGACAAGTATCTTTGGGTATGTTTTGTGCGTGACACAGGCTACATCCATTTTTCATTGCACAAAACCAGACATTTTTAAAATTTTACTACTATAGTCATGGATTATTTATTTCCCTCCCTGCCTGCCCCCCACCCCCACCCCGGTCATATGTTCTTTGATAGCAAGAATCATGACCAGCTGCAGAAGAGGTCACAGTTTATGTAGTAATCTGCTTGGCTCTTACTAAGCAAGACAAATCTACTTTTTGCTGTTATTGGTGAAGACATTGGCCAATTCTGCTAAAACGTGTATATCCAGGCATGTTCTTAAGGCGAAATGCCAGTTTTATCCAATCTAGGAGAGGTCATACTCTCTGTACGTAATGGCTGAGTGAGTCTACACAGCCTGTGTATAACTGAGCCTGTATTTAACAGTTTTGTGCCTTGTACAAATAATTTGTTTTTCCTTGTGGCTAAAAGAAAGAAGCTTACTATTCCAAATGTATATAGTAATCTTAATTTCTTCTTACCTTTTTTTTTAAAGGGGAAAAAAAAAAAAAGAGGAAGAAAGCTTTTGTGGTAAGCCTGTAATTGAAATGCCGGAACTCTCTGGCAGAACTAAGGAATTGAATATATATCATTACTGTGTGATAAGACATATCATCTGTAGACAATGGCTATATCTAAACTGTAGGATCAAGCACCTTCTAGCTTCAATTTTCATATGTGTGCCCTGGTCACTTCTGGGTTTCTATGGGGAAAACAATGGAGCACCCAAGTTAAGAGGGAGCTACATGGCAATGTAGATGAGTTCTTGATCTGTATAATCAAGAGTAAGAGGACCATAGGGAGCACCAGGGGAACACACTTGCTTCAGACAAGCCAAGTAAATACATTTTGGTTTTGCCTGTGTGTAATTGGATGATATCTTATTTTAGCTGTCTTTGGTTTTCCCATTTAGTCTAAAAGTTACTTAAGAGCAGAACAGATTAGTCTCTAAGTGATTACAGGACATCTACCTCAATAGAATCCCAGTCTTCATTGGAGTACTCCTAATGCTACTGTCATAGAAATGATTGCATTTTTAGTAGTTGTAAACTTGATTCAAACTCACTAGTACTGTACTCCTACTTTAAGCATTATTGCTTATGTATTTTCTTCTACCATTGAGTAAAATAGCAGAATTTGTGTTTGGTTTTTATTTAAAATTCAGTTGTCAGCTTTTAAATTCTTGCAGAATCATGTTTTAATAATGTTTTTAAACTGTTTTTAAAAACAGTGTCCTAGAAGCCTGAAGTTTCAAGAGGGAAGCCTAAAACTAAAAGACTAAGAGGTAGTATAGAGCTGGCCAACTTGATTTGGCTTGCAAGTATGTATGGAAATGTCAATTATATTGGTTGCAAAGATCATAAAATTGCATTCTCAAGAAAAAAAGAGAAATTGTTAGCTTGTCAAGTCTTCAGTATTCTGGTTTTTGTCTCATGCAATTCACTTCTAACATGAAAACTAGTTCCACTGAAAGTATATATTTGCATAATTTGCATAGAGCTGCCCTAACACAAAAAAGAAAATGCATTTGTTTAAACTTGGCAAAAATTATGTAGGTATCCTTTTTCACTACAAAACTTACATGAGTGTTATAACTCTTAGTTTTACTCAATTCAGGATAGTAGTAAACTGTGTCTTTGATAAAGCTGTGGTTTGTGCATGAAGCAAGCAGAGACTGTTGTGAAAAATAAGTAGATTGATGGTTGGCTGTCTTAGCCAACTTTACTCGTTGTTGTAAAGGTATTTAGCAATGCCTTCCCACAGCATGCATTTCAAAAAAAAAAAGATTGCTTCACTGTTCTGTATGTAGTCTTATGTCTGTCTGTTGTAGGAGAATTAATTATTCTTCATAGGACAGTGCACTTCATCTGGAAACAGTTCTGCTGAATCATTAGTTCTCACTTATTAGCTAGCTGAGTGGTTCCTTCTTCTGTTATTATGTTGTGGGTTTTTTCCTTCTTTGGGCCTTTTAGAGATTTAAATAATATTTAAGAGCTAGTGGCAGAAGGGTCATTAAAACTCTGATTTTGTGTTTACTTTGGATGGACAGTCTTTTATAGCTCACCTGTGCTGAGCATCACTGCCATTAGGGGGAGGAACGAATCATTCCTGTAAGACTGCTTAAATTTAAAACTTTCTTTTTAATATCTCTTTTATAAATATGGGTTTTACCTTGTTTTTAAGGACTTGGAGAGGAAGGAAGAGTTGCAAGATAGAACTTGCTTTGCATTTTAAAAAGGCTGATTTTCTTAAATCTTCAGGAGTGTACATTCAGTCTTCTAATGTACGTGTCTATTGCATTTGATTTCAAAGCATGCTGTTTGGCATGTATAATGAGAGTATTTGGGTAATACAGCAGGAAAATAAAGAGAAGTGCTGTATAGGAATAATTTACATACAGAGTTCCATATCTCTTATATAATTCATTCAAGCACCACAATCAAGACCAGTTTCTCCTGATACTTTTTTCCCTCCAGGATGAACCAGCAAAGTGTCTGTTAAGTGCTAGTTTTGAATAGTTTGCTCTGTTGTGATAATTTGATTTCCAAAGGCTGATATATTCAACTTGTCTTCATTCCCTGGTAGTGTCTGAAACCAACTTTTTGATAGCAAATTTGAAAGAGAATTCCATGAGAATACGTGACTGGAAAACATAAGTTTGTATCACTGATGGTGTAGTATGCACTCAGCAAACAAGTTATGTAGGGGTGAGATCTTCTCATTTGTCTTACTGCAGAAGGGGTCTCCCTAGATCTAAGAGTGGATAAAAGAAGATGAAACACTGGGAAGCTGAGCTGGACACATTTGCAGAACAGATTATTCTTCTGTGTTTGAGTAAACACATAAGCCATTGGCTTTCCACCTTATTTGTGTTTATCAGAGAAAACTTTATATTAATGAAACTTAGTCACTTGCATATGTAAATATAAGAAAAGCAGATTGATTTTGATGTTGTTCAGAAAAACAAGCCTCTTCATTTTGCTTACATTTCACAACTACTGTTTACTAACATTCTGTTAAATTTGCACACTGCAGTAGAATCTGGCTGGTTTAATGCGTTTTTTATCATGTTCAATGGTTGATCTGATTTTCTGTCTTGCTTTTCTTTCTGGTCAGTTTTGGAGCATAGTCATTACAACTGCGTGCAGTTGCTGAGAGAGTACTTGACTAGTAAAAGACAGTTTTTATTATCAACTACTTTTAGTAGAATTAAATCCATATTACTACACAAAACCCAGATACATTAAGATGAATATCTAGTGTAGTAATACAGAGGAGATGATAGCAGATATCCTCTATGGCCCAGTGAAGTTATGCAACACACTTTTTGGTGCTATATTACCTGTATCCCGGTACCTCTGCCAATGCTCACATATTTTGCATTATTGAAACCTGTTGAACTGTTTGATATTTAATAAATGGCAGAAATAGTAGTTATATAAATTATAGCCCTTCTGGAAATAAGCCACTGATTCACTTTGTTTTAGCTGTCTCCTTTCTTTAAACAGAATTGACAAGTCAGTAGATTGAAAATTTGCAAAATATCATTGTTCTGTTGTGGCCCACAACTAAAGTTTAAGGGTCTGATTTAGATTTTACTGAGGCCAAAGGTAGTGATCTACTGAGTGTGGGCTTTTAGTTGGATTAAGTGATCATGTGCATTTATTCTAGATTGTGAAATAGGCTTGACTTTTGAAAGGGTCAAGAATTATGTTGGTTTATGTAAATAACTCAAAAATTTTAGCATATGAATATTTTGTTTGAAGAAAGTTACAAATATTTCATTTAAGGGCTATTTTCCCTCCCCTTTGGCTGTGTTATCAAGGCAGCCAGTGAAAATATGTTTAACAAACAGAAAAATTCTCATTTGGATCATGTAAAAAACCTAAGATTGTCATAATGTATTTTTTCATAGGCTGTATTGGATAATATGTCAAGAGTAAAGTCTGGAAATATTTTTGCTTTGTGATAACTGCTTGTATATCAAGAAACTCCATAGCAAACCAAATTTTAACATGATCTTTGTTGCTATGGAAATTAGGACTGCAGATATTTGTTTGTGTACTTACATAAAGGAAGCGTCCGGTGTTTTGGTCTAAGTATGCTTTATTGATTTGCAGAAGTCAGTTTTATGTTAGGACTGGTTTAAGATTTTTTTTTCCCTCATTCTAATATTGAGTAATCTCTTTGTAGATGTAGTCTAGTTTGAGTACTCAAAAATGAGAAGTTATTTTACGTTTATAACCATATATAAATGTCACTTTTTTTAATACACAAAGATGCAATGAGATGCCAGTTCAAACAGTTCTATTCCATTGTTTGCAGTGCTTGACAGTTTGTGTCCATATGTAAACATGCAATTCAATTTACAGCTGCGTCAATAATTTTTCAAAGTTTTTGTTTCCAAATAGTCTAAAAAAACCCAAAACCCAACCCATCATTGAAATTGTTATTTATAATTGACTTGAGTCTTAATTTTTTTTCCCTGGAATTTAATAGTTATTCACAGTAAGCAAATATTTCTTTTCTAGCTGTTGCATCAGTAAGTCACCCAGGAAATTACACTTCTTTCTGATTTGTCTTTCCTATTACAGGCAAGCTCAAATCTCTTGCTTCCTGCGCCATCATCGCTGTCACCACACTCCAAGCTAAGACTGCAAGGCACTCTGAGCACTCCCCTGAATCCTCCGTATTTGTTCACTCCTAAAAGTGGTAAGTTTCTTTCTTTATTTCTGCACTCTCTGTAGGGAATGGGTAATAACTTCCCCATGGAAGTAATAAAATGGGGATTTTTTTTCTGCCTTTATAAATTTTGCTGTGCAGCTCTTTCAGGGAGTGTCCTGCTTGTTATATGTGATATTGTTTATAAAGTGCAGTGCGATACAGTCCAGTAATGATATATGTTCTCTTGTAATACTTTTTCTTTAAGCTGTACGCTTATTTATTAGTGCTGTAAGTTCCTAGAACAGTATGAGATTGCAACCTTTTCTTAATTTAATATTTTGATAATATTTGACTACTTACTGAAGTATCTTAAATACAGACACTGAAAAACAATAAAATCATATTTTTAAAACCAGATGTACTGATATAAGAAAACAGTAGTAAGAAAAGCACTTAAGAACCATAGTGCTTGGTAGTTTATTTGCAGTTGTGTTTATTTTTAGGGGTTTGTTTCTAAGGATGTTTTGTAGTCAAAGATTTTGAGAAAAAGGTAAGCAATGAAGTTGTGCATTTTTCTGATACTTACTTTGCTAATAATATCTGTTGCATTGGTAATCACAATATTTAATAGTAAAATTGGTAATTTCATGCCTTTTTCTCTTTTTTTGGGCACCTGTAAAATAGGACAAAAAATTGGAGCCTTAGTTTTGAAGTGTTTTTGTTTTGTATACTTGAGAAGAGTACAAAGAAGTCCAGGGGGAGGGTGGAATATATAATGAACTAAAAACAGGTAACAGAGATTTAAAATGTAGATAGTAAAGATAGGAATAGTCTCTATAATTATATAGAATTATCTCCCAAAGGCAGACAATTTTCTTCGCAAATCAAGATATGATCACTTTTTCTGAGCAGCAGGGGAAAGGGTCCTTAGCATGGACTAAAAGATTGACCACTAGTCTCAGAATCGCACTTAGTCAGTAATTCACAGTGTAAATGGCCATACTCCAAGTAACTTCTGTATTTCCATTTTCTACCGTAACAAAAGAGCTTAGAGCCAAAATAATACTCAGCTATTACACAACAGATGCTTATTGTTTCCAGAGTGTGTAAATCTTACAGAAACAGTAGAATACATACACTGTCTTACATATTGTGAGTATTCAAAATAAGTGGACTAACCCTTTAAAGAACATTAATAAATACTTTAAATTGTTTTAAATGCCTGTACCTAATATTGCTCAAACCAGTGCATTTTATTGTCTTGAATTTTACTTTATGCAGAAGCACAGATAAATGCGTTGATGGAGACTTCTTAAATAGCATGAACAAACATAAATATATGTTATAGCTGTTCATGTGTGCTCCCAGTGTAGTTTCCAAAACTGACTAATACTTCAAGATGATCCACAGGTACAGGATATTATTTATGCAAGGGAAGTATAGTAAAAAAGACATACATTTTAATGGTCTTTTAACAGTTAATGAAAGCAATGAGAAAATGAAGATTTTTAGGGGAAACAATCATAAAAATGCTAGTGGACCACAACTGAAATAGGTTTTCCTGTAAGAAAATATTTTAAAATCCTAAACGACTTCCTTGTCATTTGGGAGGTCTCCAAGTTGTTCTACTGTGATAGATGTTTTCAGTGAAACATATAAGAAAGATGTACTCATCTATTTTACCTTTCCCCGTTGGTTATAAAGTGTGAAGCTAGGTGCTCATGTTCATAGCTCCTAACTGCCAGTTTAGTTTTACTTTCGAATAATGGAAAATCTGTACTTAAACAGATCTATTCATTTATGGATTGTGCTGGAAGCACAAAACCTTTTTTTTTCCTGTGTTGGGTTCATATACACAATATGTATGCTTTTTTGTACTTACATTATTGGGATGTTGCATTGTTGACAACTGCCTGTAATACAGAGATCCTTCATTTTTGTCCAGCAGATGGTTACATATTCCTGAGGGTTATGTTGGCCGTTATTCAGTCTTTTCATTCTCATGCTCTCCTGTCACTTTTTGCTGTGTACTTAGTGCTTCTTAAAGCCAAATGCAGAATTCCCGTTACAGTGAAGTCCCTACAGGCAGCATGTGTTAAACTCTGTTAGCAATCTTTTTAACCGTGTAACTGGTGTATATGCATGCTTTATTAACTTGATAAGGTTGTAGCTGATGTCTTGTGATATGGACAGTGTAGTAGCCTGGATACATGCAGCACTTTCTTCTTTTAACAAGACAATTATCTAGGTCTTGCTTTAGGTAGGAAACAGTGGAAAAATGGGGTATCCACCTTTGTGATTTATGGGCAGTAGCAGTAATACTGCAGATCTTTCCTGACTTTTAAATCTTTCTGTATCCAGATATTTTTGCAGAAATAGCTGTAAGTGATTTTGTAATACTTCAAATAAAATGAACAGGCATGCTTAAAAGGCATAGTAGTGAACATTACTTTTAACAGATGGATTCTGTGTACCCTCAAACATATAGTACGTTTTGGCTTTTCTTCAAGGGCATACTTTCACATGTATATGGGCTTTCATGAAGCCCTATTCCTTGTTCTGCTATTTACCTTCCTCACTTCGCTCAAGATCAGTTATCTCATGGTCACTGAGGCAGAACTGCCTTTGTCTTCAACCAGTTCTGCCTTATTCATTATTAGCATGCTCAGGGGTGCAGCCCCCTTAGTCAGTCTGTTCAGCATCTGCATCAAAAAGTTGTCCCCAGCACATTCCAGAAGTCTGAATTGCTTGTAGCCCGTGGTTTTTGTCTCTTGAGCAGATACTGAGGTGGTTTAAAACCTCCATGAGAGTCACGGCCTGTGATTTCGAGACTTCTTGCTCTGTTTAAAGGTGTTTTTATCCACTTCCTCGTCTTGATCAGGCAGTCTGTAGCAGGTGCCCTCCACAATGTCCATATTTTTGACCTCTCTTCCAATTCTGACCCATATGTTCTTGACAAACCTGTCACCTGGTCTGTAGCTCTACGCATTTGAGCCTCTCCTCCCTTCCCTACAGCACTCTCCATTCTTGTCTTCCCTATCAGTCCTTCCTAAAGAGCCTGTGTCCACAGGCTCTCACAACATTGCAGTCAAACAAGAAACATAAATATAAATATATTTTATGTGAAGGAAAATCATGAAACACTGAAAATACGGCTCAATGCCATTTATCATTCTAATATAGCCCCTTCCCTCAGCAACACTATTTTGTGAAAGCAGACTTGAGTTACTTGGAAACCACTTGGGTTCATACGTCCTTGTATATTTCATAGTGTGATAGCAAAGATGCCTCTTCTTTCAGTCTTTCCTCTGTTCTATAATGAGCACCCCGTTCTGATTATTTAATTAATTTTACAAAAAGGTGAACTGTTACCTGCATGAAGTGACTCCATATAGAGTGAAGCAGTCTGCTAGTGTTTGGGTTCCTGCATGCCAGCTGCTGTAACTTCCAGTTGTAAACTATTGTCAGATATTTGTTCAGTTATGTTTTTTTTAATCCCTGATCTTGAGTTTTACACGTGATACTTAGATATCCTAACTTTGATCTAAATTAAATAATTTGTTCTTTAGTCATCAGAGAGCTTCAGCACCTTTCTCAACCATAGAATGTTTTTTATGTGAGATGGGTAAAGACAAGATCACAGTATCATCAAGGTGGGAAGGCGCCTCTGGAGACCATGTAGCCTCAACCCTCCTTCTCAAAGCAGGTTCACCGAGAGCAGGGTGCTCAGGACCCTGTCTAAAGGGTTTTTTCTATGTTTAAATGGTATTTTCTGTATTTCAGACTGCATTGGTGCATGGGATTATTCCTCCCTAAATGCAGGACTTTGCATTTCCCTTTGTTGAACTTTGTGAGGTTCTTGTTGGACCATTTCTGCAGCCTGTCAAGGTCACTCTGAATGGCAGCATGTCCCTCTGGTGTATCAGCCACTCCTCCCAGTTTTTTTATCATCTGCAAACTTTCTGAGGGTGCACTTAGGCCCATCATCCAGGTCATTAATGGACATGCTAAATAGTGTGGGCCCCAGTATCAACCCCTGGAGTGTACCACTGGTGACTGATCTCCAGTTAGATTTCATGTAAGTGGTTACAAAACTCTGATCCCTGCAGCTCAGCCAATTTTCAGTCCACTGCAGTGTCTGTTTGCACAGTCCATACTTCATCAGTTTGTCTATAAGAATGTTATGGGAGACAGTGTTGAAAGTCTTACAAAATTCAAAGTTAACATCTACTGCTTTCACATCAATGCTATAGAGTGCTATGCAAGAGATATATGTAAAGTTTTGTCAAGAGTGTGGTTAGAATTACTAGAAAAAAGTAATGAATTTTGACAAACAATAATTAAAGAAGTAGGTACCACAAAGCAGATAGAAGACCTGGATGAACTTGTTTCTTATGCATTGTGTATAAAGCACTTCATTAGAGAGATTTCTTAAAGTTTAACAAAATTAATTTAGATTTAAGGAAATGTGTGTTGTGTGCCTTCCTCTCACAAAGGTATTGTTAAATTTGAGAGGAAGGCACGGAACTTCAGTTTTCTTACTGTCCATCCTGATAGTCTGTCCGTTGGAATTTTTCATTGAGAGTGTAACTCATTTTACCATATCAGGGTTTTTTTGTCTGCCTCAGTGAAGCTGCAGCTGTGCTGATAGCTATTTCAGTTTTTTGAAAAGTTTGCTAGATGTGTGTCTTTGGAGAAAGTCATCCCCTTTGAGTTTTACCTTTGTAATTTGGATTCATAAAGTCTTATGGCTGGTCCTATTTTTCGCTCTAGTCAAATTTCTCCATGTTGCATATGTAGCAGATTACTCATTCTTACTTGATTATTGCTTAGGGAATCCGTCCCTAAAAGTATGTAATATGTAAGCTGAACTGATTTTCTTCTTTCTTTTCTTTTCTTTTTTTTTTTTTTTTATGTAATAAGAAAATTTGTCTAAGACCTGTATTTGATAGTCAGAATTGAGGTTTTACCTTCCTTGTGCTGCATAGCTCTACTTACGCTCATGCTTCAGTGCTAATTTTATCATACCTGTGCTGCAGTACTACTCT